CCTACATACATACTTTTGGTTTTAAGAGGCCCCCTTAGAATCAGAAGTATGGGTCAAGTACAAAGGTGGAAAAGAGACTGAGATTATTACCTAAGATTACTAAAGAAAATAGTGAAAGAAAGGTTTAGTTATTCCAAACAGTCAGCTACAGGAATTTTTGGAATGTGTAGAAAAATGCTGCCCATGGTTTCCACAAGAAGGAACAACTGATTTAGAGAAATGGGAGATTGTAGGCAAGCAAATGAGTGAATACTACAGAGAAGAAGGACCTGGTGCATTCTCGATTGCTACCTTTTTAATTTGTAATGTATTACAAATATGTCTTATGCCCCTGGAGAAAGTACTAGTAGCTAAGAAAGTGATTCGGGTAGATGAGGGGGCAGGAACAGATGAGGAAGAAGAAATGCATAAGGTCTTTGAGGAACAGTTGAGCATTCTTGAGGAGGAAGAGGAAGATGCCAGAGATGTGCATTCCCTGAGCAACAGAAAGATGTGCATTCTCCTAAACAACAGAAAAATGTGTATTCACCTTCTGTTACAAAACAGCCTGGGAGAAAATTAAAATGCAAGGGCTTGTTGGAAGAGGCCAAACAAAGGGCAGAAAGCAGAGGGGAAGAAGTGCCCATGGACTTAAAATCAGCTATTCCAAAAGGCCTGATGTTCCCACTACATGAAGAAGAGAATCCAGATAATCCAGGACAGATGATTAGGGAACATAGGACTTTTGAATTCAAAGTTTTAAAAGAATGAAAACAAGCTTCAGTACAATATGGGCCAAATAGTCCCTATGTTCAAACATGATTAGATTCAATAGCTAATTCAACCATGGCCCCATATGATTGGTATTCACTAGCAAAAACATGTCTGGAGCCAGGAGATTATCTCATATGGAAATCCCAATTTATTGAGCAATGCCAAGAGCAGGTGGGATACAATACAAGAACAATGGCCCCTGTTTCTTTGGAGCAGCTCAGAGGGACAGGAATGTTTACTGCACTGCAGCAACAGCTAAATTATCCGCTTATAGCATATGAATACATTATGAAGGCTGCACGGGTGGCATGGTTAAAGGTTCCTGGGAAGCAAGATAGGGGAGCCTCATATACTCAGATAAAGCAAGGTCCCCAAGAAACTTTCCCAGATTTTGTAGCCTGACTTACGTAAGCCATACAAAGGCGCATTTATGATTCAAAAGCAGCCAAAATACTCCTTCAAAAATTGGCCAGTGAAAATGCTAATGCTGATTGTAAAAAGGCCTTGCAAGGCGGCAAGCCTAATATGGATATTACAGAAATGATTCAGAGATGTGAGAATGTAGGACCACGCAATTTCAGGTACAAGCTATGGCAGCGGCCCAAGCAGAAGCGTTAGGGTCAGCCTTTCCTAAGAATCAGAAGGACCCGCAAAAGTTAAAATGCTTTAATACAGAAAGCCCAGCCACATGAAAAAGGATTGCAGGGCTCCTAGCAAGGCACTATATCAGCCCCCCAGTACTCATTGTCCTAGGTGTCAAAGAGGATATCATTGGGCTTCACAATGCAGATCTACTTCAGATGTTAATGGGCAGCCTTTAAACCCCCAGAGGGGCTCACTTGGCCCCTGCAAACAATTGGAACAGCACTTTCACTGATTCAACCAGTCCCTGCTCCACACCCACAAGACTCAAAATACTAGACCTTATTCATGCCACCCCAGGTAGTGCTGGATTAGATTTAAGGTCCAGTCTTGATAAAGACATCAGGGGTGAAGTCGTATGCATTCCCAGGGAAGTACATGGTCCATTACCCCAGGGATGGTGGGTTTAATATTAGGTCATAGTTCCCAGACACTTAGGGGGCTCATGGTCATCCCTGGAGTGGTGGATTCTGATTACACTGGAGAAATTGAGGTTATGATATATGCTTTTCCTTGTTGTCATTTTTTCATTCAAAAAGGGGAAAGAACAGCACAAATGATTGTAATGGACTATAAAAAACTGGGGGAAATGACAGAAAAAATAAGGGGGACAGAAGAATTTGGTAGTACAGGAGTGTTTTGGCATAGAACTATTACAGATGCCAGACCAACTCTAAAAATGGAGGTACAAGGAAAGGGATTTGAAGGGTTAATAGACAGAGGAGCTGATAAGTCAGTTATCACTTTAGGGGCCTGGCCTACAGAATGTCCACTAGATCAAGGAAATGTGATGTTACAGGGAATAGGAGAACTAGCCACTCTTGCACAGAGCATGGCATGGCTCACTTGGAAAGTGGAGGGGCAGTAAGGAAAATTTAGACCATATGGATTGCCACACCTTCCCTGCTGCCTCTGAGGAAGAGATTTATTGAAACACATGAATGTTACTATAAGTAGCAAAAATTTTTAGTAGGGGTCACAGCCAAAGAGAAAAGAACAGTACAGGTTCCTAAAATAACTTGGAAGGAAGGGCCCCCACATGGGTGGACCAGTGGCTCCTTAATTTAGAAAAAATCAGGGTTCTTCAGATATAATAACCAGACAATTGGCAGCAGGTCACATAGAATTTTCTAGGAGTCCATGGAATTCTCCTATATTTGCTGTTAAGAAAAAATCAGGTAAATGGAGAATGTTAACAGATCTCAGACAAATCAATGCCCACATGATAACTATGGCAGCCAGTGCTGCCTTCTCCAATTGCAATCCTGCCAGACTGGCCTTTGTGGGTAATTGACTTAAAAGATTGTTTTTATACTATACCCCTTAAAGCAGAAGATTGTAAATATTTTGCATTCTCATTACTATCAGAAAACCTGAAGCAGTCTCACCAAAGATATCAGTGGAAGGTGCTTCCTCAAGGGATGAAAAATATCCCCACCATGTGTCAGCAATATGTAGCAGAACCACAGAAAGGAAAATTAGCCAGTATTATGGGGGACATATTTAAAGCAATTACAGAGCAGGGTTTAGAGTTAACACTTGAAAAGATTCAAAAAGCACCTCCTTATTCATACTTAGGACAAATAGTAGGAATGAAAGAAATTCAGCCTCAGAAGATATGTATTAGACAAGATAAACTAAAAACATTAAATGATTTTCAGAAACTCCTAGGAGACATTAATTGGATCAGATCTTATTTAAAAACAGGAACTCATGAATTACAGGAACTATATGATATTCTTAGAGGTGATGCTGACCCTACATCTCCTAGAAAACTTACCACCAAAGCAAAACAGCAATTAGAAAAAATACAGAAATCAATTGAAACTGCAATTGTTTATCACACAGAATCTGTTATGCCTTTAGAAGTTACAGTATTTGATACCCCAGATATACCTTTTGGATGTATACATCAGAAAGACAAGTTACTGGAGTGGATTTTTCAGCCTTTGCAGCCAAAATATACCCTTCAAACATATCCTTCTATGGTAGCAGATTTGGCTAAGAAAGCCTGCAAATGCCCCTAGTATTATACATCAACCTCATGATAAAAAACAAATAGAAGAATTGCTCAGTCAAGACCATTCTTGGCAGGTGCTTCTTACTATTTTTCAAGGGGAAATAGACAATACATATCAACATCCGATTTTACCATTTGCTAGGAAATGTCAGTGGATTATTAATAAAATAGTACAAAAGAATCCCATAGTAGGAGCTCTCTGTGATGCTTCCCCCAATCACATTTCAACATATTTTGTTCCCTCTGATGAGAGATATGTAGCACAAACAACGTTTGATTCGACCCAACAAAATGAAATTTATGCTATAATATTAGTACTGCAAAGATATTCTGGTCCTCTTAATATATTTTCAGACAGTAAATATGCAGTAGGAATGCTTAATAATATAGAAACTGCTTAAATTAAAATGTCATGTAATTACAATATAGCAACTTTTTATGATGTTACAAAAAACTATTCCGGAACAAACTTCCCCAGTATATTGTGCACATGTTGCTTCACATACCGAGCTTCCAGGACCTATTACACATGGGAATCAGATAGCTGATGACCTTACTAGACCAACCTTGTTAATGTTGTCTGTTGAGGAAGCTAGGGAATCACATCATAAATTTCATCAGTCTCCCTCCATGTTAAGGAAACAGTTTGGGATTACTAGAAAGCAGGCTCTCCAGATAATAAAATCCTGTTGTAAATGTCTTCCTTACACCTCCACACCATATAAATTGGCTATTAATCCATGTGGATTACATTCAGGAGAAATTTGGCAAATGGATGTTACTCATTACAGCAGTTTGCAAAGTTACAATTTATTCATGTAACAGTTGATACTTTCTCTTCCTTCACTATGGCTACTGCACAAGCAGGAGAAGCAGTACAAAATGTTGTAGATCATATGCTTCATTGCTTTTCCATTTCTGGTGGGCCTTCAGTTTTAAAAACTGATAATGGCCCTGCTTATGTTTCTCATGCATTTCCTACATTCTGTCTTACGTTTCATATACACCACATTACTGGGATTCCTTATAATCCTACCAGTCAAGCAATTGTGGAAAGAAAAAATAGATCTCTTAAAACATTCCTTCAAAAGCAAAAAGGGGGAGAAGCCAGGGGTAGACCACGAAGACAATTGGCTCAAGCAGTATATGCTTTAAATTTTCTTACTCCTGATAGAGAAGGCTGTACCCCAGCTGAAAAACACTTTAGATTACATAAGGGAAGTAGTAATGAGGAGCAAAAGACTCAAAAAAGAGTCAAGTGGAAGGACCCAAACACCAATCATTGGTTTGGGCCAGATAAATTATTCACTTTGGGAGGAGGGTATGCTTCTTCCAGATGGTGCAGAAGGACCAATATGGATCCCTGAACTTAACATCAGAATGTGTGTCAGAGATGACCCGGAGGTTCCAGAAACGTCAAACTCAAAGGAGGAAAACGGACAAAAGAACAAGAAAGCAGCACCCAAGGTGATGGGCAAAGTCGGCAGGACGGCTGCTGCAGCTGATAATGCTGTTATAAGCAATGACTATTGAAGGAAGGACTTTGCAGCTTTGTTCATACATTAATGACCCCCCATGGCCAAGACTACTCCGGTGGAATGACCCAGTTATTGACATTATGGCTGCAGGAGAAGCGGCAGAAATTTTTGGACAAAGGGATTGGAGGGTTAAAGATTTTAAAATGTATGATGTTTTAGAATACAATTTTAAATGCAAAACTGGCCCATTCCCAATATATTTTGGGATTGATGTACCCTCTATAGATTACTGTGTTAAATTAGAAAATGTTACTCATTCTGCTCAATTAGTTCCTCAGGGAGTAGTTTGGAATATATCTATGTTTGGTATAGAAACTATTGGATCTGTGAAAGGGCCAGCTCATTTTTCTCCCTGGCCAGATTGTTTTAATATATCTGTATTATCAGTATGACATAGATTTCCACCTGGGGTAAAATGTCATACACAGTATAGGGGTGTAGCTAATTACAATTGGGAAAGATTTGAAATATGGAATAAATTAGATCATAGTGTTGAGGGTGCAAGACAAGGGTGGACTATGCCAGGGATTGTGCCAATAAGAATGCTGTACATCAGGAGAAACTTTGGTTAGCAATGGCAGCATTTGATCCTATATACTTATGTGCTGCCACTCCCTTTAAACCTGATATTACTCTTTATAGTAGAAAAAAGCTAGTTGACTGTTTACCCATGCATCAAGCACTTCTTTTGGGAAGACCCAACATCACACTGACACCTGATGGGTATTTTGAAATTTCATGCAAAAATTGTATTGTAAATAGATGCTTATATTATGCACATGGAACTTGGGAATATGTAGCTATGATATTAGAAAGACCTAAATATTCTATATTTCCTACTCAAGTAGAAGAGGGATGGTTTTTAGCTCCTGCTGTACTATCTTAATCAAGAGATTTCTGTAAGAAAAAAGAGATGTGTCCAATGTGTCATTTGGGGAATTGTGTCCTTGGTATGTCTTATCTCACCCCTTATTGCATCTGCAGTAACATTTACTATGTTTACACAACAATTGCAGGATGCACGGTATACTGAAGGATTGGCTCAGAATGTGTCATTGCCACTTCAAAAACAAGGGGAAATTGATTTAGATTTTTAGAAAAAACCAGATGCATTAAAAGATACTGTGGAATTCATTTGGCATGAACTTGCAGAAACTGAATTTAGAGCTACTTTAAAATGTGATTATCACTTTACTATGGTATGTGTTAATTCCTTTTCCATACAACTCCCCCATTGTAAAATGGGACAAGATTAAGAATCGTTTAGAAGGTATTTGTCGTAATACTAACCCTTCTGCTCATTTGTCCTAATATTACCTGGGAAACTGCAGACAGTCATTCCCCGGGGGCCAACCCAAAAAATCTGGCTGTAGAGAACTTAAACAAATTAAGTGCAATCAATATATTTAAAAATTTACCTGCCTTGTTACTTCATGCATTTTCTTGGGCAGTGTTATTCATCATATTATATTTCATTATTCCCTGAATTGATACCTTAATTAAGACAAGGATCAGAGAGTTAGGAGCAGATGTTCATCTCCTCAAGCTGCTTGCAAATTCGAAAAGGGAGGAGTTTGTAGAGGGTGACCTTTAAGGTTCCTATCTCAGTATAACATCCAGGACAAAGCTTGACCTTTGCCCAGGCTTAACCCACAGGGCTCAATCATTTAGGAGGCAGGGCTCTCCAAATCTCTCCCTGCAAGGGAGGTTCCAGAGACATTCCCTCTCATTCTCTGAACCTTAGGCACCAGGGAAAAGTCTTGGAGTTTTACATGCCAATCCAGGATCTCTGATTACTAGAAAATAGGTATTGTCACTTATCAGCAGATGTTCTGGGAGTGTCGCACAGGGATGACACTTTGTAGCTAGCCTAGATTTTCTCTATATAACCTGTACCCTCAGATGAATAAACTGAGTCAGTCCTTACTGATCAGCCTGGCCCACGTCTTTCATTTATTTCACACCCTCCCATTTGGTGTACTATTTGATTGCTGGCAACAGCTCCTGTGGTTCATTCTAGGGCCCTTTTTTGTTTTTAGAATTGGAATATATATATATATATATATACACACGTACATATATACATAGATAGATAGATAGATAGATAGATAAATAGATAGATAGATAAGAAAACTTAGAAGGAAACAAAATGGACAGCTCTGAACAAAAATGTGTAGTATATATTTATATAGGCTTTCTTGAAGTGGAAATTTATTGCTGCATATTTTGAATACTCTCTTCTCTTTTGCAGTGCACATGGCAATGAATTTTAGTTTTTGTTTTTTTATTTTGTATTATATTTTTAATATTTAACTTCATAATGTTTCTTTTTCTTTTTTTACTGTGTATTTAAGTTTTAGTATTTGTTTAAAATAATTTAATTTTTAAAAAATAATTGGGATCTGCCTGTTATTTACCTCTAGTGCCAATCATGTTCTCTCATATCCGTCTTCCAGCCAGAGGAATTAAGGCATGAAATGGACAGGAGATGTTCTCTAGGCTTCATTGTCTGTTTCTAATGGAAGCTCATTGTGTATGGTAAGGCAGTGACACAGTGCTCTAGGAGCATGAGTTTATCTTCTCCATTGTCAAGGGTAAAGTATTTTGGACTGAGCTTCCAAATGGAGGCACCTCTCTCCTTACTCAGAACTCCCAAGTCTGCTGTCACTATGTCCTCAGGAAATAGAGTATCTTTTACCTACTCTTTTCGACTTTCTCTTTCTTCTCCCATGGGGGAGAGGGGGTGAAGGTGGGGAAGTATGAGTAGGGGTTTATGAGGTCCATTAGGACCTTTCCAAAAAACAAATTGTTTTCATATATCAGCCATTGGCATTGTGAAATCTTGTATACAGAATAGGATCTGAACTGAATCAATTTTGGATGTTTTCTTTTCCTCCAAGGGCACAGGACCTGTATTTTCATTTTTCTGTCATTGCTTCATGATCTTAGAAAAAAACTGAAATTCGATACATTATGTAGAATGTAGTTAAAATTTGCAAATAGGTCCTTTTCCCTTTTTCATTCTCTTTGGGATATAGACATAGCAGTAGTATTGCTGGATCAAAGCATATCCTTTTGTGCTGGCCAAGAACTCGAAATTGAGGGGTGCCCATCAATTGAGGGATGGCTGAACAAACTGTGACATATGATTGCGATGGAAAATTATTGTGCTCTAAAAAATGATGAGCAGGATGATTTCAGAAAAAACTAGAAAGACTTACATGAACTGATGTAAAGTGAATTGAGTAGAACCAGGAGACCAGTGGATACAGTAACAGCAATATTGTATGAGGAACAGCTGTGATTTACTTAGCTATTCTGAGCAATACAATAATCCAGTATAATCCCAAAGGACTCATGATGAAGCATGCTGTCCATCTCCAAAGAAAGAACTGATATTGACTGAATGCAGACTGAAGCATGCCAGTTTTTCACTCTGTTTCTTTCATTTTTTTTTGTTCAAGTCTTCTTGTACAAAATCACTAATATGGAAAGGTTTCAAACGATTGCATATACATGAATAATCTATATCAGATTGCTTATTCTTTCACGGATGGGGAGGGGTAGGAAAGGAGGAAAAGAAGGATAAAATTTGGAACTCAAAACTTTTTTTAAAAAGTTTCAAAACTGTCTTAACATATAATTTGGGAAAACAAAACACTATGAAAATAAAATATATATATATAGTTAAATTGTAATAAAGATGGAAACTTTCTGTCAGTCCCATTCAGAGAGCATGTTTTCATGTCTATATGACCTCATTCTTCTTAAAACATGCTTTTTATTTTCCCTGAAGATGATTGAAATCCCCTTAAGAAAGGACTAAAGAAATTTATGCCAGTAATTGATAAGAGTTGTTCTGGACATGGATCTCTTTGTCTCCTAGGTAAGTCATTGTGACTGCCTAACTCACTCTTTTGATTGTTGTTTGTTTGAAAACCTAAGACTTGCATAATTCCCTTTAGCAATACCAACACACTCAGTTGATCTCATCAAAAGTTAGAGTATGTCTTTGTCTTCATCCACCATCATTATGATAACAATAATAACAATTAAGTTTCGTATTGCAATTTAAGGTTTCCAAAGAGCTTGGGAAATACCATCACTTTTTATCCTAACAACCCAGGGAGATAAATGTTATTACTATTATTCTATTCAGTGTGAGAAATCTCTTAAAGGATTTTCCAAGATGAGAAGCACATGTAATAGACATTCACTGTAAGATCCATCTTTCCTCCTTTTCTGAATCTCAAAATCCCTTGGTATTATTTTACAACTATTTCAACCATTCTACCTTTACTGTAGTTTTTGAAGAAATGGCATAAATTCTTGAGAAAGCTAAATCCTGTTAATGTGCATTTGATTCAGTCCTCCTCCAATTTCGTCTATAATTAGAGAATACTCAAAATCCTACCCCTTGTTCTTCAACCTTTTCTTTTTTACATGCATATTTCAACTTACTTTTCAATTTTTTTAAATTTTTATTCATTTTAAACTTAAATACAAAAAACCAGAAGAAGAGCTTTATGTACACAGCACAACGAAAAAGATGATTCAGTATAAACCAATGAATTTCCATTTCACTGTTTACTTTAAAAAAAAACTATGTAATACTACATATCATTTTCAAAGCTACCCTCATTTTCTGTATTTCTTTCTAAATTTTATTTTGTTCTCTGCTGTGCACTTTTTTTCTCCCTCCCTTCCCATCTCTCCTTATAGATGGATACCATTACACACAAACATGTTTGTGTGTGTGTTTGTATATGTGTGTGTATATATAGGTATATGTATTTATCTATATGTGTGTAAAACCATATTAAACACTCTTCTATTTCTCAGCTCTTTCTATGGGTAGGGATAATATATTCCTTCATAGGTCCTTTGTAGTTGATTTGAGTATATATATAATACACCAAAAGACTTAGTCATTCAAAATCGTGATTAGAATACTTTTGCTGTTGCTGTGTACAATGTTCTTCTGGTTCTGCTTATTTCACTCTTCATCATTTCTTCATTATTTCAGCCTTTCTATGTTTTATCTAAAATCTATCCACTTATCATTTCTTATGGCACAGTAGTATTCTATCATAATCATATATCACAGTTTGTTTGGCCATTCCCCAATTGATGAGCATCCACTCAATTTCCAGTTCTTTGAGAGCTGCTATAATTATTTTAGAACACATAGATTCTTTTCCTTTTTACCTTGAATCAGCTTCAGAAACAGATCTAAGAGTAGCATTCCTGGGACAAAGGTTATAAACACTTTTGTAACTCTTTGGCCATAATTCCAGGTTGCTCTATAAAATGGTTGGATCAGCTCACAGTTCCACCAACAGTGAATGTGTTCTAAAATCCTGGGGAAGGTTAGTGACACTGAGAATCCAAATATTATTGATAAGGACTCAGTGTCTATCCTTCTCCATCACTCCAATCTGTGATCAATACCAAGAGATTGCTCAATAGGCTTTTCTATGTCGCTGTTATTTTCCAAGCTTATCTCAATGCCATTTCTAATTAGGAAAGCACTCTCAGCTTTTTTCTTTTTTTATCTTCAGCAAATATTGGATCTGCCTTAGGATGCTCTTTTTGGAATTTCTGAGCCTACTCCTGCCACTTCTGCTTGCTTGTAGAGCTACTTTTTGTTCACTCGTTTTTTGGTTGGATTCCACCTGGGCTATGTATCCCCAAACCCATTCACCATCTCTTGTATGCAGGGTATGCTTTGTTTGCATGCGAGAGGTCATTGTGAAGTTTTCAATGTGAACACTTATACTTCAGAAATCAGGAGACGGTCAAAATCAGGGCTTGACTTTCATTTTTTACATTGTTTAGACAAAAGCAAAGGTTGGGGAAGAATGTTCATGATGTAGATTAAACTTAAAAGTGCATAGTGCATTCATTTTTGTCCCCTGGAGAGCTGGGGTTAAAAAACTTACCAGCACATACAAGCTCACATCCTTCTGAGCTGGAGGAATTGAGACACAAAATGGTCAGGCATGAGAAAGCCCCCTGAGTCTCCAGGATACTCTGAAAAGTCCCATGTTTTGTTTCTCAGGACTCATTGTGTGTGATGACACAGTGACACCATATGCCCTGGGGAATGTGTATATCTTCTATAGAATGTGGGTAAAGGCATAGCCTAAGCCTCAGATTGCAGAGACCTCCATCCCAGAGCAACCAAGTCTGCTGCCACCTACTGTACAGTGACATCAGCTGAGACCACATTTTTCTGTCTTCTGTCCATTTTACACTCGTATTTTACTTATGGAGGAAAAAGTAATTCTCATCAGGGACCATTAGAATTCTGGTTTGTATTTTTACACAAGTTATCCTCCAATCAGCCTTGGAGACTGTCAAATTTCCTATACTGTAAAGCAAGACCTGGCTTTTCTTTTCTCTGTTTCTGTTTTTTTTTTCTTTCTACATTTGAATTCCCCCATCATTGCTACATATCTTATAGGAAACACAACAATTTAAAGCAGCTTATAGAATATAGTTAAATTTCTGTTCTTACAAAATATATCTTGACCTCTCAAGCCTGAAAAGGCTCTCTCACCCTCTATTATCTTCAAGCTATCTTTACAAATGTTTTTCCTTTCACTAACTTCTAGGAAAAGTGTATACCTGATACCTTCCTTTAAGGCACTCCTCAACCCTGTCTAATCTGTTTTCTGACCTTTTCACTCACATCATCTAACATTTTGTACTCAACTCTGTGTGTGTGTCTGAGTTTTCTTCCTTTATTTAGACACTTCACCTGAAAATAAGGGACAAGGGTCAGGTGGTTTTGTTTATATATATACTTACTTGTGCAGCCTAATTATGTGACACAATTTTCTCTAACTTTTTTTTCCCTATCTCCCTTGTCTGAATATTCTTCTTCCCCTTTCCATTCTGCTCTCAGAATCCTTAAGATATAACAGAACCACTCTCACCTTCTGTCTAGTAAGACTTCCTCCATAGGAACACAACCTCCCCATATTTAAATGTAAGGAGTTTGTCCTTGGTATGTTTATGACAACAGGAGAAGGGAAAACAGGGAGAGGGGAGAAGGTAGTAGGCATTCATACAGGGCCTATTATATTCCCAGAATTGTGTTAACTGATTTTTACAAATGTCTCTTTTTATCTCAACAACAATCTTATGATAAAGGTGCTGTTATTAACCCCACTTTATACTTAAAGAAACCAAGGTAAAAAAAAAATAACTGATTCACCCCAGACTTACAAAGCTGATGTCTGCGGACAGTTTTGAATTCAGGTTTTCCTTCTTCCAGGACCAAAGCTTTACCCATTGTACCACTGACTGTCTGTAGCAGGTGGTTTCAGAGAAACAAGATTTTTCATTCATGTTTGCATTTTTCTTTCTCAACTCCTGTATTTCACCATCAGGGTTTCTTCGTGACTCTGTTCTTTCCATCAGGAATTCGTTAAAGTCCTCTGTTTCATTAAAGATCCGTATTTTTTTTTCATTTAGGGTTTTATTCAATTTTCATAAGTAAGGTGTTCTTGGATGTAAACTTTTAGGAAAACTTTATTCCAAGCTTTCTACTTCTTTATAGTGGTGGCTATTAAATCATTTGTGATCCTGACTTGGACTCCTCAGTACTTGAATTCTTTCTGGTTACTTGTATAATTTTTTTTCCCTTTACCTGGAAGCTCTGGATTTTGGCTATAATATTCGTGGAAGATTTAATGTGGGGTTTTCTTTCAAGAGATGACCACTGTATTTTTTCTAATTTTGTTTAGCCCTCTAGTTCTTTTTTAACATGTAGATTTCTTTTGTTATTTTCTTTTCCTTTTCTTCTTCCCTTTCCACCCTAGAGGTAGCTATCATTAGACACAAAAAAGTGTACATATGTAAAATTATTCTATACATCACTTCTTTCTCTAGATGAAGATGGAATATTTCTACATATGTCCTTTAGAGTGATTTTAGGTATTTATAACAGACAAAATAACTTATTTGCTCAAAGTTGTTCTTAAAACATTATTGGTGTTACTGTATACAACATTCTCTTGCTTCTGCTAATTTCACTCTTATTTATTTTATGCAAGTCTTTCCATCTTTTTTCTGAAACCATCAGGCTTATCATTTCTTATAGCAGAATAGCATTCCATCACAACCATATACCACAACTTGTTCAGCAATTCCCCAATTGATGAGTATCCTTGCAATTTCCAGTTCTTTGCCACCGCAAAGGGAGCTACTATAAACATTTGAGATGTATAGATTCTCTTCCTTTTCCTTAACTGTCTTCAGAAATAGACCAAGCAGAGATATCGCTAGGCCAAAGGACATAGGTAGTTTAATAACTCTTTGGGCATAAATCCAAATTGCTCCCCAAATTGTTGAATCAGTTCACAATTCCGCAAACAATGAATTAGTGTCCCACTTTTTCTTTATCCCCTCCAACATCTGTTGCTTTCCCCTTCTATCATTTTATCCAGTTTGGTAGGTGTAAAATATCTCAAGATAGTTTTAATTTACATTTCTCTAATTAATGATGATTACACCATTTTTTTCATAGGATTATAAGTTGTTTTGATTTCTTCTTCACAAAATTCTCTCTTCACATCCTTTCACCATTTAACAATTAAGAAATGACGCATGTTCTTATATATTGGACAAAGTTCTTTATGTATTTTAAATATAAGGACTTTATCTTATAAATTGTCTATAAAACATTTTTCCCACTTTTCTGTTTTCCTTCTGATCTTGGCTGCAATTGTTTTATTTGTAAAAATACTTTTTAATTCAATATATTTAAAGTGAATAGTTTTCTTTATGTTAAATTAATTTAATGTAATATAAAAATTAACATTTTTAATTTAATGTAAAATGAAGTGATTAATTTTACACCTAACTTTTCCCTCTATCTCATTTATTCATAAGTCAATAAGTATAATATCGATATGTAATATCAATAAGTCTGATAAGTAATTGTTTCCATGTCCTTCTAATTTTCTCATGCAATCACTTTTTACATTTAGGTGATATCTCCATTTTGACCTTATTTTGGTAAATGGTATAAGATATTATCTATGCCCAGTTTCCACCATTCTGTTTTCTAGTTTTCTCAAAAATTTTACCAAAATCTTATCCCCAAATCTTAAGACTTCATACTTGTCAAATACAAAGTTATTGTGCTTACTTTCCACTGTAAAATGGGTGCTTATTCTTATCTATATCTCTGATTTGAAATTCTTACCACTACCAGAGAGTTTTGATAACTACTGCCTTATACTATAGTTTAAGATCTGGCACAGCCAAATCTCCTTCCTTAACATTTTTTCCGTTATTTACTTTGATATTCTTGACTGTTTCTTTTTCCAAATGAACTTATTATTTTTTTGATTCAGAAAGGATATTTTTGGCAATATACTTTGAATGGCATTGAATATGTAAATTAGTTTGGGTAACATTGTCCTTTTTACAGTATGGGCCATGCCTTCAAATGAATAATTAATATTTTTCCAATTATTTCAATCAGATTTTATTTGTATAAAAAGTTTCTATGATTTTGTTTATATAGCTCATGAGTCTGTTTTGATAGCTATACTCTCTGGTATTTTATGCCATCTAGGATTGTTTTAAATGGGTTGGTTTTACTATCTCTTCCTACAGGGTTTTATTTCTTACATGTCGGAGTCCTGATGATTTCTATGGATTTACTTTATATCCTGCTAATTTCCTAATATTATTTCTTGTTTCAACTAACTTTTTAGTGGAGTCTTTCGAATTTTCCAACTACCTCATCACATCTTCTGCAAAAAGAGATAACTTTATTACCTCATTACCTATTCTGATTCCTTTAATTTCTTTTTCTTCTCTTATTGCTATTACTAGGATTTCCAATACACTCCTCAATAATATTGATGACAGTGGGCAGTCTTGTTTCAAGATTGATCTTACTAGGAAGGGTTCTACTTTATCCCTCTTACAAATAATGCTTACTGATAGTCTTAGATGAATGCTATTTATCAATTCAAGGAAAAATCTATTTATACCAATACTTTCAACTGTTTATAATAAAAATGGGCATTAAACGTTATCAAAGACTTTTCTTCATCTGTTGATACAATCATGATTTTCTTACTTTTATTATTGATATACCCAATTATGGTAATAGTTTTCCTTATGTAAAAAAAAATCCTTGAATTCCTGGTATAAATCAAACTTGATCATAATGTATAATCTTTGTAATATATTATTGTAACCTTTTAGCTGGTGTTTTATTTAGGATTTTGCATCCATATTCATTAATAAAATTGATGTATAGTTTTCTTTTTCTGTTTTTTACCCTTCTTGGTTTAGGTATCAGTATCATCTTTGTGAAATAAAAGGAATTTGGTAAGATCTCTTCCTTACGCATTACTCTACATAAGTGATTTAATATCGGAATTAATTGATCTTGAAAGGTTTGATAGAATTCACTTGTAAATCCATCTGGTCCTGACAATTTTCTCTTAGGAAGCTCATTTATGGCCTGTTCAATTTCTTTTTGAAAAATAAGCCTATTTAGATATTCTATTTGTTGTTCTGCTAATTGAGGCAATTTATATTTTCGTAACTATCCTTGCATTTCACTTAAATTGTTAAATTTATTGGCATATTTGGGCAAAATAGCTGCTTATAATTAAGTTCATTTTCAATAGGTGTATATTCACATTTTCACTTTTGATACTAGTTGTTGGGATGCTTGGGTGGTTGTGTTTGAGTGCATGTAATTGGACCCTAATTTCTCCCTGGCCTCAGAAACACTGTCCCTGACAGTTTCTCCCCAGCCCAAGGACCCTGTGCCTAGCAATTACTCATGAGTGGGTCCCAGCAAGACCTTTATCTCTCTCCCTGGTGCAGTTCCAAACAATACCTGAAGGATTTATTAGTTTGAACTTGCTTGGCATGGGTCATAAAGACATTTTCACCCACTGGACTATCTCTTACCATCCTACATCATTGTCTACATCCTGGGCTCCTCATTAACTGTATTCTAGACCTAAGACATATGTATACTCCCTACATCTATCTTCTTAAGACATTGATTTGTGGCAGACTGGACAACTCTCAGTTACCCCTGAACTCTAGTTAACTTAGTGAGGTAGCAGGCCTAAAACCATACCTCCATGTGGCCCACCTTGTGGGCTTTTCCCAGTGAACTCTGGGTAAAATGCCTGTACAGTAGATAGAAGTGCATGTTTTTTTAAGAACTGACCACTTCTTAACCACTCCCTAATCCCTCCCTGAATCACCTAGTTAGCATATTTTACCCATGTCTTGTCATATTTTATACTATATAAACTTTAGCTATACTGTTTTCAGATTGCAGGTCCCTTAAGAATCCTTGCCTGCTGAAAAGCATAAGAATAAACTGTTGGCAAGTTGGCTTAAGAGTGCTTGAGTTTGTGAATTCATTCCAGATGACCCATTTTGTACTGTGGTTTTTTTGAGGGGTCCCAATCTCTCAACCCTCATCACCAGTGATTTGGTTTTCTTCTCTTTTTTAATCAAATTAACTAATACTTTAGCTACTTTTTTTTCATAAAATCAACTCCTAGTTTTATTTATTAAATTGCATGTTTTTACTATCAATCCGATTAATCTCAACATTAATTTTAAGGTTTTCCAATTCAGTTTTTAATTGGAGATTTTTATGTTGTGCTTTTTGTTGACTTTTTTTAATTGCATCACAAATTAATTAGTCTATTCTTTCTATACTTTTTTTAACATAAGAATTTAAGACATGTTTTCCTCTCATCATTGCTTGTACTCTATCCAGAGAATCATGTCTGTTCGGTACTTAAACTTCCCAAAACAACAGAAGGTCCTTCAACCTTATTTCACTCAGCATCTTGTATTCTTTAGATGGCAGGAAATCGTGGAAAAAAAAAACATTAAAAACAAGAATGAATAAAAGAGGCACAAAATCAACTGAAGAGAACTCCTTAAAAAGCCAATTAACCAAATGGAAATATACATGCATATATGCAGGTGTGAGTGCACACGTGTGTGTGTGTGTGTGTGTGTGTATTCAATAAAAACAAGAAGTTTTAAAAGAATTGGCCATATGGGAAACAATTTACTGAATTTGCTGAAGAAAATAGATTCTTAAAAAATAAAATTGGCTGAATGGAAGACACAGCACAAGTGTTCAGTAAAGAAAATAATTCCTAAAAAAACTAGGATTGGGCACGTGGAAGGTAATAACTCCATGAAACATCAAGAAACAATAAAACAAAATCAAAAGGATGAAAAAATCTGAAATATCTCATCTGAAAAACAACTGACTCTTAAAATACAGGAAAGAAAATTTAAGCTTTATTGGACTACTTTAAAGACATGATTAAAAGAAGAACCCAGACTTTATATTTCTAGAAAATATCAAGGAAAATTGCCTTGATATCTTGAACCAGAGGTAAAATACAAATTGAAAGAATCTGCCATTCACCTCCTCAAAGATATCACAAATTCAAATCCCAAAGATTGCTATAGCCAAATTCCAGAGGTCTCAGGTGAAGGGAAAATATTGTAAGCAGCCAGAAAAAAATGGCAATTCGAATAATGTGAAGCCTCAGTTGGGATCACATAAGATTTAGCAGCTTCTACATTAAGGAATCAGAGGGCTTGGGATATGATGTTCCAGATGGCAAATGATTTAGGATTACAGTGAAGAATCACCTGTCCAGCATAACTTCAGGGGGAAATGGAATTTAATGAAATAGTGGACTTTCAAGCCTTCCTGATCAAAAGACCAGAGCTGAATTTAAAAATTGATTTTCAAATACGAGATTCTAGAGAAGCTTAAAAGGTAAATGGGAAAGAAAGATCATAAGGAATTCAATTAAGGCTAAATTGTCAGCATTCCTACATGGGAAAATGATACTTCTTACTCTGAACTTTATCATTACTGATGAAGGGAAAGAATGTGAAAAATTTAAAGAAGTCTCTTTTTAATCAAGGTGTCATTTCTCAAATAAGCAGTGAACCGAGTCACATTACTAAGAATACAAATTGTTCCCCAATTGGTAAAAGGTCAAATATATGAACACGCAGTTTGAAATCAAAGAAATCAATACTCATTTAAAAATACTCTAAATCACTATTGATTAGATAAATGTAAATTAAAACTACTCTGAAGTACCACCTCACACCTATTGGATTGGCTAACAAGGTAAACGAAAAATCTTGGAGGAGTTCTGAGAAAGATGGCACACTGAAGCACTCTTGGTAGAGTTTTTAACTGATTCAGATATTTTAGAAAGAAATTTGTTACAGGTTTTTCTGAAATCTTCCTCACCATTTCTCATTGCACAAGAGTATTCCATTGCAGTCTTTTACCACAAAGTGTCTAATCATTCTCCAGTTGATGGGCATCACCTCAATTTCCAATTCTTTGCCACCACAAAAAGAGCTGATATAAATATTATTGTACATGAAGGATCATTGCCATTTTTGTTTTGTTTTTGTTTTTTATCTATTTGAGATATAAAGTTAGTACTACTACTACTGGATGAAAGGATGTGCACAGTTTAATACATTTTGTGAATAGAAGACTTACATAAACTGTTGCAAAACAAAATGAGAAGAACCACACCAACACTGTCACAGTAACTGCAGGATTGCACGATGATCAACTATAAATGACTTAGCTATTCTCAGCAATGAAATGATCCAAGACAATTCCCAAGCACTTACGTTGAGAACTGCTATTCACCTTAAAAGAAAGAATTAAAGAAATCTAAATGTAGATTAAAGCATACTTCTTAAAACTTCATTTTTTTCCAGGTTCTGTTTTTAGTCTGTCTTTGGTTTGAACATTTTAATATGGAAATGTGATTTGCATCTTGCCTTGCCTTCTTGTCATTGAAAGGTGAAAGAGGGGAGGGAAGGAAGTTGGAAGTCAAATTTTTTTAAAAATGAATGCAAAAAAATTTACATGTAATGGAATAAAATATTAAAATAACAAAACTTCAAATAATTCAGAATTTCAAAGCTAAATATATTTAAATATTATGAAGGTAGGATTCTGAAAACCTTTCCACATTACATATATATATATATATATATATATATATATATATATATATATATATACATATATATATATATATATGTATATATATATATATATATATATATATCATCTGATCTTTCTTTTTTTAAAAAACTTTTGTAATCCAATTAATTTTCCACTTCAATTGCAATTAATTCTAATTCCATCCTAAGTAGAACTGGTGACAAGTGGTCTGTAAAACACATCTATACTTTGGAACATGCCCTACATATGTGTTTATTCCAAATTAAATAACAAACATAAGTAAATAATGAATCTAAGCAAAATTGGACTTCCTTTTCAGTTGACACAACGTAGCCCAAAGTTTCTTTCCACTAAGTTAATTGATTGAACTAAAACTCTTTTCCTTAGAACAAAACAGAAATTTTAAAACTCCCTAATAGTAAAATAACAAAAAAAGAACAAATAAGCAACAATGGAAAAAGAAATTCCAATCCAAATAAGTACAAAATGCATAAAATATCTTGGAAGCAAACTACCAAACTACACAAAAGACCCATATACATTCAAAATACAAAATGTCCCTTAAAGAAATAAATAACAATGTAAATGGATGGAAGAATATTAAATGCTCTTTGAAAGGCCCTGTTAATATAATAAAAATGACAACATGTCAAAATTACTATACCCTTTTGATGCAATCAAATGACCAAAATGATACATTATAGATCTTGATAAAATAATAACAAAATTTATTTGGAAAAGCAAAAGATCAAGAATATCAATGGAAAGTATTAAAAGAAGTAGAGAAGAAAGAATACCATATCCTCACCTCAAATAAGGCAACAGTCATGAAATAACTTTATATTGTTTAAAAAAGAGTGAAAATGCTGGAAAAGACAACACAAGGGAGAACCAGAAATAATAGAAGTTAGTGTTTGAAAAACCCAGTCTTTCATAGAGGGGAAAACATGAGGTGTCAAAGAAGATGCTCCTGATTTAATCAAAGAAAAAAAATGCAAAGAATGGGGAAACAAAGTAGCTGTACATTAATTGAAGAAATGCTTAATAAATTGTGGAACATGAACATAACAGAATATTACTGTGCAATAAGACATTCTGTGTATGAAGAATATACATAATAATAATAATGGTAACTATAATTTATATTATCACATTAACAAACATTTAAATAGGAAAGTAAGGACTTGTTCTCCTAAACAAATCATGGGCTATTAATATAATGGAATAGGATTGTTGCACAAGAATTGATGAAATGGACAGGTTCAGGAAAAACTGGGAAGACATCTATGAACTGCTGCATAGAAGAGTAGCACTAGGAGAAGAACTTATACACTGATGACACCAGCACAGAAAAAAAATAATTTTGAAAGACTTTACAATTCAAGTAAATACCACATGAATCCAGAGTACTGAAGATAAAACATATATGTCATCTTGAGCGGGGAAGTGATGAAATTAAAATAAAGATAAATGATATATATTTCTAGCAAGATCTAGGTAAGAAGTTTTTTCACCCTAAAATTCCTTTATAAACCTTCGAAAGAGAAGTACTCAGGGGTCTCATGGTATCATGGACTGGGAGAAAAGGAGGAAAATTTTTATGCACTACCATAAATGAGATGCTAAAATAAACCACTGACAACTGTTATCACAGGAGAGAGGTGAATGATATCATGGAAGGGAGGCTAAAAATGTCATGCCATACAACAAGTCATTTCAGCAGGAAGTAGAGGGGGAATTTTTTCCAAACTGTGTCATTCAAGGGTGAAGGCTAGTTGCTCTCACCCTCCCCTATCAACCTCTCACAACCCAGAAAATATCACCCCAGAAAAAATCCTGGAACAGCTTAACCAAAAGAAATATGGGGAGCAGCAGAGCAGTAGCCCAGTGTCACTTTAGCACACCAAGAAGAGGAGATCCTGGTGCCTTGGCATTCCACAGCAAAGTATATCAGCAGATCTAAGAAAGGCAGTACTGCAAGGGGCCCCAGGTGGATAAACATCCTGCAGAATTCTTCTGAAAGGAGCTGAAGAAAGCAACCTTGAGTCTCACTAAAGTTCCAGCCTTGCTGATTCCATCCCAACACCACGTAACTTATCAGAACCCTACAGCCTCCAACTGCCAACCAGGAGAAAATCCTGAAGCCCAGGTGGTAGAGCCAGCAAACACCAACACCTGGACCTCTGAGTGCCTCAGTGAGAATGAGTGAACCAGTGGAAACCAGCTCAGAAAGCCACCAGGTGCCTTGGCATTCTATAGTAAAGGTGGTCCCAGTGCCTCAGCAGATCTGAGGGAGGCAGCACTGCAAGGGGCCCCAGGCAGATAAACACCCTACAGCACCCATCTAAAAGGAGCTGAAGAAAGCTAAAGGAAAGGAAAAGCAGGCAACCTAGAATTGCCTGAAAGTTCCAGCCTTACTAATTTCAGCCCAACACCAGGTAAGCAGCCAGAACCCTACAGACTACAATTGCCAACATAAGAGTCCCCAGCATACAAAGCCAGTCACTAAGACCTAGTGAACCAACACAAGAAGCTTGGGTTAGTGCCCTCTGCTCACCAGCAGAAGAGCTCAATCTCTTTAAAGGCCAAGGAATAAAGAAACACTATGAGTAAAAAGAAATGCACCATAGATTCATATTATGAGAAGAGTGAAGGTCAAGACAGAAATTCTGAAGAGGACAATATTGTCAACAAGCCCACATCTGCAACCTCAAAAGGGAATATGAACTGGTCTGAAACCCAAAAAGCATTCTTAGAAGAGCTCAAGAAAGATTTTAAAAGTCAAATGAGACAGGTAGAAGAGTCCTTAAAAAATACAATTGGCCAATTGGAGGAGGAAGTAAAAAAACTAACAGAAGAAAACAATCTGTTAAAAATTAGAATTGGACAAATGGAGGCTAATGACTTTATGAGAGAGCAAGAATCACAGAGAAACAAAAAAAAGAAAAAAGAAAAAATAGACGAAAATGTAAAATACCTCATGGGTAAAACAACTAACTTGGAAATTTATCCAGGAGAGACAACTTAAAAATTATTGCACTACCTGAAAATCATGATTAAAAAAATAGCCTGGACAGTATCTTTCAGGAAATCATAAAGAAAAACTTCCCTGAAGTTCTGGAACAAGAAGGTAAAATAACCATTGAAAGAATCCACCACTCACCACCTCAAAGAGACCCCAAATGGAAAATGCCAAGAAATATAATAGCTAAATTCGAGAATTACCTGAGGAAAGAGAAAATACTGCAAGCAGCCATAAAAGGGCAATTTAAGTATAATGGAACCACAGTCAGGATTACACAGGACCTTGCAGCTTCTATATTAAAAGGGTATAAGGCATAGAGCAGAATACTCCACAAGGCAAAGGAGCTTGGATTGCAGACAAGGATCCACTACCCAGCAAAAATGAGCATGACATTTCAAGGGAGGTGATGGACATTCAACGAAATAAGGGCCTTCCAAACATTCCTGATAAAAAGACCAGAGCTCAACAAAAAATTTGACCTTCAAGTACAAGATTCAAGGGAGACATAAAAACGTAAATGGGAAAGAAAGGTATAATATGATGCTAATAAGGGTAAATTGTCTACATCCCTACAAGGGAGAATGACAGTTACAACTCTTGAGAATTGTATGGTTATTACACCATGTTAAAGGAGTATACATAAAGGGGGTAGATATAAGTTGGCTTTGATATAATGATTAAAAAAAATCTAATCAAGTGGGTTAAATGGATCCAAGTAAGTCAATTGGTCGGATCTAACAAAATGTACTGAGAAAGGAGGAGGTAGACAAGGGTAAATTACAGTACAGGAAAAGACACAAAAACCTCTTACAGCAGAGGGGAAAGAAGGGAGAGGGGTGAGCATTATTTGAACTTACTCTCATCAGATTTATCTCAAGAAACAAATAACATAATCAGTTAGGTATAGAAATCTAACTTCCCTATAGGCAGTAGGAGGGGAAAGAGGAAAGAAAAGGGAGGGGGGGATAAAAGACAGGGAAGAAGCAGTAAGGGTAAAGGGGAAGAAAAGGGAAAGGGCTAATAGAAGGGAGGAGGGACTGAAAGACACAGTGGTCAAAAACAAAACGCTAGTGGAGGGGGAAGGAGAAAGGAGAGAAAAAAAGCATAAACGGGAAAAAAGAGATGGAGAAAAAGACACACATGGTAATCATAACTGTGAATGTGAATGGAATGAACTCTCCCATAAAACAGAAATGGATAGCAGAATGGATTAAAAACCATAGTCCTACAATATGTTCTTTACAAGAAACACATTTGAAAAACAGTGACACACACAAGGTAAAGGTAAAAGGTTGGAGCAGAATATATTATGCTTCAGCTGAACTAAAAAAGGGCATAGCAATCCTGATCTCAGACAAAGGAAAAACAAAAATAGATCTTATCAAAAGAGATAAGGAAGGAAATGACATCCTGCTAAAAGGCACCATAGACAGTGAAGTAACATCATTACTAAACATGTAGGCACCAAATGGTATAGCATCCAAATTCGTAGAGGAGAATTTCAGGGAGTTACAGGAAGAAATAGACAAGAAAAGTGTACTAGTGTAGGAATTCAACCTCACCCTCTCTGAACTAGATAAATCTAACCACAAAATGAACAAGAAAGAAGTTAAGGAGGTGAATAGAACACTAGAAAAGTTATATATGATAGACCTCTGGAGAAAACTGAATGGGGCAAAAAACGAATATACTTTTTTTCTTGCTGGTACATTGCACATACACAAAAATTGACCATGTACTAGGGCACAAAAACCTCACAATCCAATACAGAAAGGCAGAAATATTAAATGTATCCTTTTCAGATCATGATGCAATAAACATTATATGTAATAAAGGGCCATGAAAAGATAGACTAAAAAATAGTTGGAAACTAAATAATCTAATCCTAAAAAATGATTGGGTCAAACAACAAATCATAGAAAGAATCTATAATTTCATTCAAGAGAATGACAATAATGAGAAAACATACCAAAACTTATGGATTGCAGTGAAAGCAGTTCTTAGGGGAAGTTTTATATCTCTAAATGCTTACATAAATAAAATAGAAAAAGAGGAGATCAATGAATTAGGCAAACAACTAAAAAAAATAAAATAAGCACTGCTTGAAAATCCTCAATTAAACACCAAATTAGAAGTATTGAAAACCAAAGGGAAAATTAAGAAAATTGAAATTTAAAAAACTATTGAAGTAATAAAGAAAACTAAGAGCTGTTTTTTTGAAAAAAACAATAAAATACATGAACCTTTGATTAATTTAATTAGAACAAAGAAAGAAGAAAATTAAATTACTAGCATCAAGAATGAAAACAGTGAAGCTCCCACCAAGGAAAAAGGAAATTAAAACAATAATTAGGAATTATATTGCCCAATCGTATGCCAACAAATTTAACAATCTTGGTGAAATTGATATGTATTTACAAAAATATAAATTGCCCAGATTAACAGAAGAGGTAGGAAAATACTTAAGTAACCCCATCTCAGAAAAAGAAATTGAACAAGCCATTGATGAACTCCCTGGGAAAGAATCTCCAGGGCCAGATGGATTTACATGTGAATTCTATCAAACATTTAAGGAACAATTAATTCCTATACTATACAGACTCTTTGGGAAAATAGGTGTAGAAGGAGTCTTATCAAACTCTTTTTATGATGCAAATATGGTGCTGATACCTAAACCAGGAAGAATCAAAATACAAAAAGAAAATTATAGACCAATTTCTCTAATGAATATAGATGTAAAAATTTTGAACAAAATAGTAGCAAATAGATTGCAGCAACTTATCACAAGAATAATACACTATGACCAGGTAGGATTTATAACAGGAATTCAGAATTGGTACAATATTAGGGAAACTATCAGCATAATTGAGAATATCAACACCAAAACCAACAGAAACCACATGATCATCTCTATAGATGCAGAAAAAGCTTTTGGCAAAATACAACACCCATTCCCATTAAAAACACTAGAAAGCATAGGCATAAATGGAGTCTTCCTTAAAAGAATACATAGCATCTATCTAAAACCTTCAGCTAGCATAATATGTACTGTGGACAAACCAGAAGTATTTCCAGTAGTATCAGTGGTGAAATAAGGATGTCCATTATCAACACTGTTATTCAGTATGATACGGAAATTTTGGCGTCAGCAGTAAGAGAAGAAAAAGAAGTTGAAGGTATTAGAATATCCAGAGAAGAAAGAAAGCTGTGACTCTTTGTAGATGACATGATGATATACTTGGAGAATCAAGTAAAAAACTACTTCAAATAATAAACAACTTTAGCAAAGTTGCAGGCTATAAAATAAACCCACATAAATCATTGGCATTTCTATATATTACCAACAACTCTAAGGTACCAGTTCACACCTATCAGATTAGCTAACATGACAAAGCAGGAAAATGATAACTGTTGGAGAAGATGTGGGAAAATTGGAACACTAATGCATTGTTTGTGGAGTGGTGAAATGATTCAATCATTTAGAGAACAATTTGGAACTATGCCCAAAGGGATATCAAAATGTGCATACCCTTTGACCCAGCAATAGCACTTCTAGGGCTGCATCCCAAAGAGATCATACAAGTGGGAGAAGGACCCACATGTACAAAAATATTCTTTTTATGGTGCTAAAGAAATGGAAATTGAGAGGATGCCCATTAATTGAGCAATGGCTGAGCAAGTTGTGGTATATGAATATAATGGAAGACTTTTGTGCTATAAGAAATGATGAGCATGCTGAATTCAGAAAAACCTAGAAAGACCTGGATGGTCTGATGCTGAGTGAAATGAGCAGAACCAAGAGAACATTTTGCACAATAACAGCCACATTGTGCAATGACTAATATTGATAAAATTAATCCTTCCTTAGGTATCTTGTTTTGGGCCTAGACAAGAAAGGTAGCAAATAGTTGTCCACATATTATGGTAGTCAATAGTCTGTAGTTTGGTTTAACTCTGAGCATTCTGTCTTAGATGATCCAACCACTTTTTTTTTCCATTTCCTGCCTTCAGGCAACCCAGTGGGTCTCACTTTCCTGAGATTTCCTATGGCCTGTTTGGGCCGCTGGTATATGCAGGGCAAGATTAAATCATAGGAAGGAAAGATATGCGAGACTTCTACTTACACTAACTGTACTCCCCTGAACACCACTAATTAGTTTATTTTTAGCCCAGTGAATTCATGATGGTCTAAATTGCTGTGGTTTAATTTCTTGCTATAATTTAAGGTGGTTATTCTACTATTTATCAATAAAACGGGTCTGCTTCATTTCAAAGCAGCCCTCTGCTAGAAACCAACCCCCCATTTCTTTTTCCTCAGCATTTAGAAAGAGAAATTCTATTCTGTTCTCTTTGTAGTTTATCATAACTTCCTCTCAACTTACTTTGAGCAAATTAAATGATTTAGACCAATACTCTTTTGGGTTAACCATAAGTTTTTCTTATTATTATGCCATAATCTCAACCAACTGACCTCGTTGTCTGGAGTCAGATGACTTAGTTTCTAATTCTACCTTTGACACTTTGACACTGTGACACTGTGATCTACAAAGAATCAGTTAAATTCCCTTACCTTCAGTTTTCTCTTTGTGAGGGATTGGACTTGGTGCCGCCAGAGGTCTTTTTCAGCTCCAGAACTGGACCAGCCATTTAATGCTATTATGACCTCATGGCTTGTAGCAAGCATGTGAGCATCAGAGGACAACATAAATTTTAAAGAAACAGAAATAAGCTTTGGAATAGATTTCCCCAGGCAAAGGGGGAAAGGAGAGGATGATACAGGAAGTAATTATTCTCAGAAAACAAGGATGACTACAAGATGATCTCCAGGGAACAGGTTTTTTTTTTTTGCATCACTATGTTGGCATGATAATTTTACATGATTTTCAAGATAATGCTATTCTATGTTTGGAGGGAATAGCATGTTGTACATGGTAAATTTGCAGTTAAATATGCAATCATCTTTTTATATTGTGCTGTGTTATGGAAATGCTTCTTTGCTCTGTGAATTCAATGTGAAATATATTTTTAAAAAACATCCAATTCAGTTCAAATCCTAGTGTGGAGGCTCTACAGGGCCAGTCATCAGGATAAAAGAGAAGTCACACAAGACTGAAATTCATCTCCTAGAGCTAGAGGATTTGGGCTGCTTTACATACCAAGGGAAAAAAAAGTTTACATGTCCTCCTCCCTTCATTCTTCTTGTTTCTCCTTCATTGTCCAAGAGAACCATGGCATCAGGAAGGTGATGTCATGAATTGCAAGTGAATTGGACTAAAGTGGTGGAGGACTGTGCAAAGTCACCAGACTCACTTCCTTCTCCAGAGCCATCTGGGTCCAGTGGCAAGAAATAAATCAGGTTAACTAAAGAAATCTCCCACATCCCTTCAATGAAAGGAAGAACCAGCTGTCACCTCATTGGGGTTAGTCCTGTCCCTGATGTGCAAAGAGAACGATCGTCCAGAACTGGTTCTAAAACCCTGGAGAGCATTTTATGACACTAAGAATGTGCAACATTGATGATACAAAAGACAGGGTCTGTCCTGTCCTTTCACTCCAATTATTCTCAGTACCAAGAAAATGCTTATTACAGTTTTTTCTATTACTGGTATTTTCTGAGGGAGTCTCTTCCAATTTCTGATTAAAGAAGCACCCTAAGTCTCTCTTATCCTTCATGTTTAATTGAATCTGCTCATGGGTACCTTTTCCCTCTATATCTCTGCCCCTGTTCATTGGCTCTTGTGTTTCCTTCTGATGCCTTTGCTCATCTGTAGTTTTGGATTCCACCTGTTATTTACCTCTACTGCCAAATGTGTTCTCTCATATCTCTTTTGCACGTAGAGTAAATGAAGCATGAAATGGACAAGAGATGCAAAGAAAGCTTCCATTGTATGCCAAGGCATATAGTATTTCTAATATAGGCCCATAATGTATTGTGGGACAGTGACATTGGCACCCCAAGAAACCAACTCCCCATTTCTTCTTCTACAGCATTGAGAAAGAGAGAGTCTACTATATTGTCTTTACATTTTATAATAACCTCCCCCTCAACTTCCTTTGTGCACATTATGCCCTTGTGGGGCATGAGTTTGTCTTCCACACTGTCAGAGCATTTTGGACTGAACTTTCAAATAAGCCACCACTCTCCTTACTAAGAGCTCCCAAGTCTGCCATCACTATGTCCTCAGTAAATAGAGTATCTTTTCCCTGCTCTTATTTACCTTGCCTTTGTTTTGTACTGAGTAGAAAACGGGGTGGGTCTGTGCTCTTATTCTATGAGGCGTTAAGATAGGAAAGTAAGGGTATGGGTTTTCAAGGTTCATCAGGATGTTTCCATAAAAACAAATTATTTTCACATCAGCCTTTGGGATTGTGAACTCTTGTATAATGCATAGAATCTGAACTATGTTAATTTTGTATGTTTTTTTTTTCCTTCACTGTCACAGGATTTGCATTTTCATTTTTCAGTCGCTGCTTCATCATCTTTACAAAAGTAAGTAAATATTCCATACATTATGTAGAACATAGTTAAAATTTACAAGTAGGTCCTTTCCCCTTTTTTCATTCTCATTAGGATAGAGACCTAGCAGTGGTATTGTTGGATGAAAGGGTATCCTTATGTTGTGGCCAAGAAATGGTAATTGAGGTGATACGTATGAACTGGGGAATGGCTAAATAAGCTGCGATATATGATTGTGACAGAATATTGTTGTGCTGTAAGAAATAGCAAGCAAGATGACCTTCAGGAAAACCTGAAACACTTACTTGAACTGATACAAAGTAAAGTGAGCAGAACCAGAAAAATGTTGTACACAGTAACAGCTACATTGTTTGATGATCAGCTGTGATGGACTTAGCTTTGTCAGCAACACAATGATCCAACATATTTCCAAAGGACTCAAGATGAATCATGGTATCCAACTCCAGAGAAAGAACTATGGAGTCTGAATGCAGAGCAAAGCGTACTATTTTCACTATTTTTTTCTTTGTCCTAGTTCTTCCCTTTTGTTCTGATTCTTCTTTCATAATATGACTAATGTGAAAATATATTTATCATGATTGTATATATTACAAAGGAGGGAGGGAGAAAAATTCAGAATATAAAATCTTGTAAAAATGAATGTTGCAAACAATCTTTACATGCAGTTGGAAAACATAAAATACTATTAAGTGCAAAACTAATAATATTAACTTTTGAAGCTCATCAACGTTTTTCAGTAGCAGAACACCTACACCCATGAACAGACATTTTGAATAATGAATGGGTGATCAGAAACGGAGTTTGGTAAACAAGACACCAAGCACCATTCTTTTCATTAAGTTTAGATCAGCTGAATCCTCACTTTCCAAGATTTCGGCAATGATGACTGCACTGAAAATGTTTTCCAAACATTTCTGTTCTGGTGCCAATGGAGGCAAATTGCTGAGGATGCAGAGCCTAATTGCTATGGAGTTCAAAAAGGTCAGGTGTCAGGGTAAGAAGGCACCTGAGAGGAGCAACTAGAATTTCCCCTACTTTTAAAAATGAATTTAAATCCTTTTTAATAACTCATTTGAGCAGACTTTACCCATTTGCTATAACAGTTTTGGGATTCTGTTGGTTGGCCCGTCCTTACAACTTCCTCACATAGAGTCAGTTCCTTTCATATTTCAAGCCTAAAAATCCTCTCAGGTTGGTTAATGAAATTACTTACATCAGCTAAAGCTATAAACACTTTTTTTTATATACTTGATTACAAGTTTTGACTGGAAAACCTTTTAGTCTCTTTGTAAAGGCGTTTGTAATCTATGCGTAATGCATGTGATGTGGCTGTATGCATATAATACTGACAAGATTAAAATGGATCCTGTATCATTTTCTCATTTATCTTATTTACAATTAAGTGTTTATGACCTGTAACTGAGTACTTAGTTATGGTTCTATGTCTCTAAACTTAGTTCAGAATTCAGCTGACCTGTAAGGGTTAAGGTCTGAAATCCAGTTCTCTTGCTAAGCACTGTGCTGTTGTGTCTCAAGGAATGCTGCTAACCTTCAGGGATATCTGGTTTGCTATCCAAAGAAGTCTAGGCCATTATTTTCAAACATGAAAGAAGACTCAAAATAACCACTTCTTAGTCATAAATGGGAAAGAAGGAGGGTTGGTGTTAGGCCCCACTTCAAATTTCCAAACAATCATGTTGTTCCCCACACTCCACCTATGTAAAAAACTCATGTTGACCTCAAGCCCTTGATGTAACCTGTCCTGTTCTGTACTTTGTTCTGTACTAGTCAAAATCTATACAAGGAGAGCTGTTTTTTGCTTGGGATCTTTGACTGCAGACTGAGGTAGTTGTTCACCCATCTTCTTCTCAGGTTCCCAGCCTTGATAATAGAATGTATTCCTGCTTAGAGAAAGGCACCTTAATTTAACTTTTTGTTAAATTTAATTAATAACAATACTCAATAATTTATTACAAATCATATTGATATGTTAAAATGTCAAAGTATTTACTTATTATGTATATAACATGGAAATCAGAAATAGAACAAAGCTCAGCAATTTAGGAGAGCCAAATTCAAAAAGGAACAGAAGGTCAGATCAGCAACAAGTATTTCTTTATTGAGCACAGTAAACTATGTGCCAAGCACAGCGCTAAGTACTGGGATCTGAAGAAAGGCAAAAAATTGTGCCTCTTTTTAAGGTGGTCACTCTTATTCAGAGAGACAAAATTGAAATAAAAACGCACTGTCTATTTATCTATATCTGTGTGTGTATATATGTATATATGCAGCATAAAGGTGGCATTAAAGAGAATGGGTAAAGTAGAAGGTGGGGAGTATTTTAGGTAAGATTTAAGTAGGTCAAGGGGGCCAGGAGGCAGGGATGAGGAGTAGAAGAATTCCAGCCAGTGAAAATACACAGTAGAGAGATGGAAACTGTTGTGAAAGGAACAGCAAGGAGATCAGTGTCATTGGATTCATGAGCACTTGGAAAGAATTAAGGTAGAATAAGACAGGAAGGAGCCATGCTACAAAAGGATTTAAAAGCCAAATCAGAACTTAGGTTTTATTCTGGATTAACCAGAACTTGGGAAAAACTGTCAGATCTATGTTTCAGGAAGGTGATATTAATAGCTGAGTTTCCTGTGAACTGGAGTGAAGAGAGTACTAAGGCTGGGAGAACAACCATCAAGCTAGCATAATAGTCCAGGTATGAGTTGGTAAAGGCCTACCTCAGGGTGTTTGCAGTACCTGGAGGAGAGAAGGGAGAGTACAGTACATTTCTGATACAAGTAGAATGGACAATACATAACTACCAATTGATTATGGGGTAGAGGTGGGACTGAGAGTGAGGCATTAAGAATGATAGCTAGCTATCCGAAAAGTTGCTTTCTCCTGGGACAGGAGAAAAAAACACCACAAGCCATAAATAGAACTTCACTATACCTGTTCCTGGATATAGGCATCTTTTACTTTCTGCATCATGAGCTCAGTCCACTTCGTGCCTCACTGACACTTCACCTCCTGGCAGGGGAAGTTTTTTTATCAGGTCTCACATTCCTTTTCCTCACTGTGCCTCTTGCACAGTAATACACAGCTGTGTTCTCAGTCTCAAGGGAAGTCATTTGTAGATATAAGATGCTGTTGCCATTATCTCTGGAGATGGTGAATCGATCTTTCACAGAGTCTGCATAGCGTGTAGTACCACCACTACTACTAATGTATGCAACCCATTCCAGTCCCTTTCCTGAAGCCTGGCGGACCCAGTGCATCCTGTAGTTGCTGAAAGTAAATCCAGAACCTTTGCAGGAGAGACTCAGAGATCCCCCAGGCTGTATCACATCTCCCCCAGACTCCACCAGCTCCACATCACACTGGACACCTGCAACACAGAGACATTAAATTAAAGTCAATAGTCACATGAAGTCATCACTTCACATTGTCACTTCCTCTCCATAAAACTACCTTGGAAAATGGTGAGAATTAAAATCCAGTTCAGCCTATATTTCATGGTGAGTTTCCAGCTTAGTCCTCTGTGGGGATGGACAAGGAGCACTTGAGTTTGTCTCCCACAGGAGGTACAGGTACAGGTTTTGGGCTGCTTTTCATCCCAGTAGGGAGGGACCCAATTTGCATGTCTTGCTCTATTCAAAAAGAGGAAGAACACCTTCTACCTCCCAGGGTGAAGTTCCTTTCCTGAACTTCGGATACTTCTCTTAGAACTAGTGCCAAAGGATTGGGGAATGTTGTTGAGATGGAGACTCTCAGAACTGATGGTTTTGACTCAGTGTCAATGACCCCACATTACTTAGAGAACTCTAAACACTTGGATGACATGTTGTAGGCTTTTCTGTGCTCCTAATACATTTCTAATTGATCTTAGGCCCATTTCTGAATGTCAAACCTCCTCAAACATCTTCCATTTCCAATGACCAACACACTGAGTCTCTTTTGTGAATCATTTTATTCACAGGATCTCTTTTCCTGGTCCTTGGCACTCTACTGCTTCCTAACTCAACTTTTCATCTCCTTTTTCCTAGGATTACATTTCACCTACATTATTTACCCATAGTTTCAATTATACTCACTCATTGCCTTGATAGGAATAGCTCATATACCTTTTTTCCAATCTTTTAGGTGGAGAAAATTAGTTATGAAAGTCACAATTCAAAATAAGAGATTTGCAAGTCTCCTACAACAAACACCTTGTTCTTCAGAGAGTCATAGCATATTTAATGGGAGACAGAAACTGTTATTCTCTGTGACATTGACCTAATATTCTGATTTATGGAGCAAGTATGGCTAAGATTACTGTGAGATGATCCTCAAAGTTCAAGTACCTTTCTCATCAAGCAGAAGATATACCTCTGCTGCCACCTGCTGAATGTTTAATTCTATACACAGAAACATGTTTCCATTCTCACTTCCACATTCTTTTTTTTTAAAGAAGGAATATTTATAATTTCAGGGCCCTTACACTTTTAGAGTTCTATGTCTGGAATATTTCCAAAATCATCTTTCTTTTTTTCTCAAGGATTCAACTCTGTGGGGGGAAAAACAAATAAAAAGCCAACAATCCCTCTCTTAATCACCATTATGTCTATGGAGTCTTCATCATAAAACATGGAGTCTGAGCCATGTTGATTTGGTTTCTTTCCCCTGTTACTGGTATTACATTTTAGGTGGCTCCTTCTTACTCTGTTATTTACCAAATTAAGGATAATTTATAATACAACAGAGCTGTGAACAGAGTTCAATGACTACAGAAGAGAAAAGCATAGATTGGTAATCTTCCACTGCTGAGGCCATAAGTCTGCGTTTAAGACATGCTAGTACAGGAATCTTAGATTTTTAAACTTTTCCCCTTTGAGACATAATATGATCACCCTATGTGTCCTATTCAGAGATAGTAAAGGTTGAAAAACTTGGGAGTGTCTCATTCACTCTTTCTAAGCAAATTTAAATAAAGCTCAATATTTTTAACTCCCTTAGTTAACATGACCACTTTTGATCAACCTGAGAGTATTTAGGGTTCTTGCTTATATGATGAAGGCAACAGATTCCATGTAAGCAAAGTCTACATTAGCCAAGCGCCTTGCCTTGATATAAAAAAAAAAACCCGCAACCAACAAGCTCTATTTTAAAGAGAGTGAAAATCAGCTGTGCTGTCAGAAGTTGAGCTAAGGAGAAAAGCAGCCCCAGGGAATGCAACTGTAAGAACTTGCAAGCAAAGATACTGTTCCCAGAAAAAGTAACATTTCCACTATTACAAATACCAAGATTAACTACAAAAGGCATGTAAATGAAGACACTATCTGCATAAAGAGAAAGAAATAAATAGATTATAAAATGATTTTACAAATATACATATTTCTGTCTAATATCCATCTCTAGCGTGGGGGAAAGAAAAAAATTATTTACATGATAACTTTTTAAAAGTTCATTTAAACTTACTTAAAGGCAATAGCATAGTGTGCATAATAGATTTTCATATTCTATGCAATCACTTTTTAATATAATATATTATGGAAATGGTTCTTTTATTCCATAAATTAAAAATAACATAAATGTTAAAACATTTTTAAGGAGCACTATCAAATTTCACAATAAGAGAAAGGAAATCAGGGTGTTGAAGTGGCAGAGACTTGCACTGGCTTGGCCAGCTTTGTTTCTTACATGTATTTTTTAGCTAGCATACTATGCATGGGCCCACTCTTCCCATTGACTCTGTGTATATTTGTGGAACAGTGTGCCTCATATTTACAGTGGAAAGGTTCATGCTGCAATTGTTTCCTTTTCTTTGAACTAGTTGTGCCAAGTGGTTTCAGTCTTTGAGTGTGGACTCACAAATACCTGGGGTCATTGACCTCTTGATATTCCCACTTATAAACATGATGTAGAGGAGTAGACCAAGAGGGGAATGTTACATTAGAAATCACACCCTCTGAGGAAAATTTTATTAGATTTTCTTCAATAAGAATACAAAGAAATTTGTACCAAAATCTGATCATATATTCTTAGTTATGTGACAAACAAAATGGAGAAATCTCTTTCCTTTCCAATCCTCACTGATGCAGTGCTTGGGTGCTTATGTTTAGGTATTTGTACTTGGACCCCAGGTTACCTTAGTCCCAAACAGTATAATAAATTCTGACTTAAGCATTCAATTAAAAGCATCACATTTCATTTGAAATATTACCAGAATGAATTAAATTACCTTTTGGTTGTGTTCTGGTGCACAAAAACTTGTCTCTTTTATGTGAGGCAGAAAAAATTAAGTGCTACTCAATCTGTCTATCTTTGATCTGAGGGCAAAGGATTCACCCTTCTTTCCTCCTTATCTCTCTCTCTTATATATTCAACAACTTGGCCAAAGTTAGAATGTAAAGAGAGAGAGGGAGAAAGAATTTTTCCCTAACAATTCTCCAAAAGTTTCAAAACTTTTTACTCTCAAACCCTCTCTTCACACTGTTCATGCAAATAGCTTATGCTTTTCTTTCTACCCATACTTCTCTCATTCCTACATGCTTAAACTTTCTTGCCTTACTTCTACTTACTTAACCCTCTGATGGACTTTGATTAAAGTGCCTTTAAAACTGCACATATCTACCTTCTTTCTAATTATGAACTGTCAGTTCGAGGATCCTTCTCCACTTCCCTTTTACCAATCATATAATGTAAATAATAAAGTATTGTTCTCTCTGCCATCCACCTGCTCCTCTGAGGCTGCTGTTACCAGGGAGGAAGAGGGGGAGAGAAAGAAAGCGGCATTCCAGAGTCAAGCTGCAGCCCTTGGAATGCTCTTCTTGCTACCTGGCTGTAAAAGGTGAAAAATTACACACAGACACAAACATGGAACAGATACATAATAATGACAGGGAGAATCCAAAAGCTCAGAGAGACTTGTCAGAAATCCCCTACACAAATCAGACAATATTTTTCATTGTTCTCCAGATCTTATGGAGTCCAGGCAAAACTTTCCTTAAGGTCCTGGAGACTGAGCTTTCTCCAGTTCTGTAAAAGATAACCTAAGGGCAAATCAGGAGGTGAAGAGGGAGATTGGCCCATCCTCTTTGCCTATGAGAAAAAAAAAAAAAAGGACTGGCTCCATAGTCTACTTGCCTCCACCAGCGTCCTGGTGAGGGACAAAAAAACCCGCAAAAGTTCCCAACAAGGCTTCCCTTGTCAAGAAGGAAATCTGCTAGAGCCTGTTGCAACCTCGACCCATCCCCACCAAGCCTTCCTAGGTGCTTGAGGGGCAGCCCAACTATAGGGCAGGAAGAGAGGAGAGGTTTACCTCAACTCCGAGAAGGCCTGAGACTTCAGACAAGGCCCACACTGGGTGCCATAAATGTTGAGGTATGAGAGTCTGTGACCCCTCAAAGACTGGAGTACTCGATGGGTCATCTGGAATGAATTCCCAGACTCAAGCATTCTTTAAGTCAAGGTGACAAAGATTTATTGTTATACTTTTCAGTGTGCAAGGATTCTTAAGGATCCTGCTGTCTTAAAGTGGTACAGTTAAACTTTATATAGGATAAAATACAATAAATCATGTGCCAAATATATTAACTAGTGACTGGGGTGGGATTAGGGAGTGGCTAAGGAGTGGTCAGTTTTTCGAAGACCATGCATTTCTTGTACATACTCTGCAGGTGTTTTACTCACAGTTCACTAGGAAAAGCCCACAAGGGGAGCCTCATGGAGGTGTGGTTTTAGGCCTGCTATGTCACTAAGTAAACTAGAGTTCAGGGGTAACTGAGATTGTATAAATTGCATAAATAAATTTATGTCAATAAATGATCAAAGTTGTTCTGGACATGGGTCTGTTTGCCTTCTAAGTCACCAGGACTGCCTAGCTCACTCTCTTGATTGTTGTTTCTTTGAAAACCTAATGCCTGCATAATTCTCTTTAGTAAAATCAACACACTCAGCTGTCTCATAGAAGTTAGAGACTATATATCTACTTCTTCATCCATCATCATGATGGTAACAATAATAATAATTACCTTTCATATTGCTCTTCAAGGTTTGCAAAGAGTTTTAGAAATACTATCACTTCTTATCCTAATAACTCTGGGAGATAAATGTTATTATTATTATTCTATTCGGTGTGAGAAATATCTTGAAGGATTTTCCAGGGTGAGAAATGCATGCAATGGATATTCATTGTAAGACACATCTTTCCTCCCTTTTTGAATCTCAAAAATCCACTGGGAATATTTTTCAACCATTTCAATCATTCTAACTTTACTGTAGTTTCTGAAGAAAAAGCAAAAATTCTCGAGAAGGCTAAATCCTGTTAAGGTACATTTCATTCACTACCCCTCCTATTTCTTCCATGATTAGAGAATACTCAAAATCTTACCCCCTGTGCTTCAA